GAACACACTCTTTACAACTGCCCTGTTCGCAGAGCTTAAGAGTACAAACAGCACTTGGCATTTAGTAAGTAACAGGGCAGGAGGTTCCACTGTGCAGCAGTGACGTCAGCGTCAGATCTGCGATGCCTACGACTGGGTGATCTGTAAAGTTTCCAACATGTCTTCAACGGCCTTCAGAGAGTATCTGGTTTCCTTCTTACTTCGACCTGCAAACTAATTTTAAGAAATGCTCAGGCTCAGTTCCAGTGGCAGGATAAAAAATCAGAATCTTACCTCCACAGTGCTGAAGAGAGTTAACATGGACTACTGCAGCACTAGCAGAGGGTCAGGTGTGTTCTTCAGCAGGTTTCCTGGTAGCGGACGTGCAGAGACGTCTCAATGCACTCTTCCCCAGTCTGGGCGGTTAAGTAATAAAGGAGCTTGCAACACCACAGTCTGGCTCTAAAGCTAGTCTCTTCTCAGATGGCAAAACATTTATGCAATAAAAGTACTCAGTTAAAATGGAATTTAGTATACACTTATGTAGGATAAGGCTTACTTATACTTGCCTTCCCTCTAAGAAGATTTTTTGAATTTCAAACAAAGGTAATATATAAATAAAAGTACATTTTATTAAATGCTTTAAGGCTGCAAGTATTCTCAAACATTATAAAATAGGTCTTTTTAACTTTGCATTTACTAGCTAAATAATATGGTGTTTTTGATCTATACCAAATATTAAAATGATGTAAATGCTTCAGAATACCTATTTCTAGCTTATTAAGTTGCAATTTACTTTATAAAAACAATTTATAAGAAAACAAGAAATAACGGGTAAGTGCCATCTGTCTGCAGAACCAGCTCATGGCAGACTCCAATGTACTGTGCATGCTGAGTGGACATGCGACGCAGCCCAGGGCCCCTGCTGATTTCAAAATGGGTTTCTCACCTACCAGACAACTCCACCATTTATCAGTCTGACTTAACACAACACAATTACCAGATAAATAAGCATTCTCTGTGTGAGTGCAGGAAAGTTATTACACATGTTCTGCCTGCCTTCCCTTGACTAGAGGACTAATTAAAACGTGGTATTAGCAACATGCGGTACTGTCCAATTAACATATTCTAAGGGGCTGGCCACTCGTTCAGACGCAGTGCAGTCTGAGGTACTTAGTACTGATTTATAGGGTGCCTCTTCTCCTCTGTAATGAAACGAGTTCAGCCAGTTTCTCTTGACCTGCTCAGAAAGATGGAGTGCTCGGGCGACGCCTGCTTCAGGCGCCAGTGACCGGCCTCTGACCCTCGAGCTACAGCTGACGTTTAATTTCCCCTGCCTCCCCAACACCAACTTCTGAGGCTGAAGCTTCACTTGACAGAGCAAACATGGGGCGGCGTAAAGGCCAGCGAGAAAAGCCTGTAAAAACCGAGCTCGCGTTCCCTTTCATCACGCACCACTGGAAGAATGAAATGTAAAAGTAAAGCTGCAGAGCACACTCACAGCCCCACCACATTTAAAACACTGTTTCTAAAAGTAATGAATTCCCCTGGCAAATGAATTTTAGGGTAGGGCATGCTTATTCTTTGACCCAACTGACAATTTATTTCCCAAGGATTCACCAAGAACAGAAAGCCTTCCCAGGTACATGGAAGGGTCAAATCAGACACTGAAAAGACTAATTTCGACAAAATACTAAAGCGCCAGGGGAAGCTAGAACACACTCCACACAGAAGCATTTAGTGTAAATGTTGTAAATAGTAAAGAGAAAATCTCAACATTTTGAAAAGCTGGGGCTGGTGAGCTATCTCAGCAGAGTGAAGCGCCTGCTTAGGCAAGTTTAGGCAAGCGCAGGGACCATGATCCCTGGCACCACGTGCCACACCAGTCCCACTCCCGGGGTGGGCTGAGCCAGCCACAGAGTTCAGGCATCATGACGCATGCCTATAATCCCAGCGCTGGGGAGGCTGGAAACAGGAGGATCACTATGAATCCAAGCAATGTAGTGAGGTCATGTAACAACCAACTACATTAAAAAAAGAAAAATTTAAAGCAAAGTCCTAATCCAAATTTTAATACACAGCATTTCACAATTTCTAGTTAAATATAATAGAATTAGCTAATTTTAAAAATTTACCTAAGATACTGTCAACACTGACAACTGCTGCAATTTAGAATACAGCTAACTTATTTGTATGAGAACATAAAATACATACATGACCTCACTACATTGCTTGGATTCATAGTGATCCTCCTGTTTCCAGCCTCCCCAGCGCTGGGATTACAGGCATGCGCCATGATGCCCGAACTCTGTGGCTAGCTCAGCCCACCCCGGGAGTGGGACTGAGTGGAAAAATGAATCTATCACTTCAAATTTTGCCTGACATACAATTATTTTGTCTCTTCCAGAATTGCACGGCAATTTAACTGGTTAGATTGGAATCGTATTTTTCCTCAAATCCTGATTTAATTCTCTATTTCCCAAAGGAGAGTAACAGAATCACCTCTGCAATCATAAAGAACATCTGGATCATCAGCGCAGACAAATGTAGCAGTACACCAAAGAAACAGTTCTCTGAAAGATCATCAGTAGTAGGTTCACATTAAACTTTTCATGAGCTCTGACCAAACGCGTCTGCCCTTGGGAACAAGCTAACCTGACCCTACCTGAAGCACAAGTAGCAGCAATGCTGTTTCATTAAGTGCAAAGAAAGAAAAGTAATTCGTGAAACTTATTTTCTCTCACTTATGTATATATAAAGAAAAACACCATGATAACAAACATTTACTTTGCACTTTATTCTGGTTTAAATGTCTAGATACGAGTCCCACAGTTCTCAGTAAGATTCCAGAGATTTATCTAATAATAAAAATGTCAATCTATGGAATTTATACTTTTCCATGTTATTCACAAATTCTATACCTTTCCCTACAGTTATATTTGAGTAAACTATTTTTTCATAGTTTGTAAGAAAATTCATCATAAAAAACTAAACAAACACTTGATTATCAAATTCAGAGATTGAGGATTCATCTACTATGGAAACTGGACTAGCCTGTATAAAGGACTAACTTAGTTTTATACAATTTGTAGAATATAACATGGGCAGGCAGAGTGACAGGATAAACGAAATGGAATGCTAGAGGGGGAAATCTTAGGAAACACACAAGTCAGATGTGAAAGAGTGCAAGCACAACCTATGATCACATTGACAGGAAGTTCTAGGGCAGGTGACACTAATTCTGGGTGATAAAAGCAAGTCAGTTGATGGCATGTGGAGCAAGGCTGGACATGAAAAGGCAGAGATTTCCGAGAGGCAGAAGCGCTATATCCTGCCTGTGGCGGTGCGAGGAGGGTGCGCACTGACGGACCACACATGGTTGAATACACACACTGCACCCCACTGCAGAAGATAAAATGCCCAGGAACTAAGCAGAGGGGCAGGACTAGGTGCTGGGCAACAGTGTAGCCTGGGTTAACTGTGTGATGTGTTTAGCAAAGTGTGACACAATCAGGTGCTCCCCATGCCGCTGCTCTGAAAGCTGAGCACACAAGCAAGCAAAACTGCATTCACCCAGTGTGGAACAGACACGCACAGCTGGCCAGGTGAAGCCACTGCGGCTGTCCACAGGGTGTGTGCTCGCTGAAGCAGGAAGAGCCTGGCTTCAGAGGCCCTGGACAGAACTTACTGCCTACCTGGAGAGAGCTCTGAGCAAGTCAGTCAGCAAAAGATACTGCGTAGAAACCCTTTGGGCTTCAAATCACAAAGTGAAGGCACAGAAACTCGGGAGAGAAAGCACGGGAAAAAAAGCTTCAAACGTGCAAGAAATTTAGCCTCTGATACTGGTGTCAAGGTAAACTGATCTTTACATAAGAGACGATTCCCAGCTGAGGAGCACTGGAAGCTGCTACACTGAAAACTAACATGAGCACAAGAGGTGCGTCATCTTCTGGGGTGGCATTCAAAACTCCATGAGAAGCTGACGAGGCAAACGCCTGCACCGTCCTCTCTGGGGAATGAAGACAGAGCAAATCCTCTCTTCAGGCGAGGTGCACAAAGGGCCTCTGGGTGCCACATGCAGAGCCCCAAGGGCACAGTGTAGCTCTCCAAGAGTGGAGATGCTCAGGATTATGCAGAGAGAGTACATTCAACCTAGTTGGGGGGTGGTACCAAGAACAGTGCTGGTTCTGCGGATGTCAGGCCTGATGGGACAGGAAGGGCTCATCTGCCTGTGGAGCTAACAGAGGGGGTATTCAGCCACTGAAGAGCTGGGCATGGAGTTTAATCACTGCTTAGAGTGTCAGCACTGAAATGCAGAGAAAGGCATGGAAAGCAGCAGTGACCTGTGAGAGAAAATGACTGAGGTGGCCATCAGGACCTGTGATGCTGAACTTGCGCTCCAACATACTCACACAGGCTGACTGTGCCAAGGTGGCCCTTCTGGGCTTGAAAGCAGTGTCATGAATCTGCCAGGCCAGCTTGGAAAAGTTACTGTGTCTTTCTGTGCTTTAACTCCTCATGCATAAAGCCGGAGGGCTGGGATGCAGCTCAGAGCAGGGTGCTTACCTACAGAGTGTGAGGCCCTGGGCTCGACCCTGCTGCTCACAAACACTTTGTAAATGTGTGCTGTTTTACAGTGGGCACAGTGGGTATAACACAGTGAACTCGAAGATGTCATTACTACACACAAGCAAATGCATTATATCACTGTGAGTCAGTGAAAATTACATCTGAACTCTGCAGAACACTTCCATGTCCATTGTGGAGAAGAAAAGCTAGATCCAGAGATAGATACCATTCTGTGTATCCAATATATCACCAGAGCCACATTCTGAACCAGGACAACAGAGATGTCCACAGTCTGTGGCCTTCACTACACAGAACTTGCTTCCAGTGTGTAAGAGAAGCTGACCCACCTTGTATCCTGCATGAAAATTAACTCGCATAACACTAGATTTAAGTATGAAATGTAAAAGAATGGGAATTCTGAAGAAATAAGAGATTACCTTTTTTGACCATGAAGCACCAAAATATTTTGTAAACAGAATACAAAAAAGCACAAACTAGAAAGAAAATGACTGGGCTGGGGAGATAGCTCAGTGGTCTAAGCACCTGCCCTGCAAGTGCAGGACCAGGGTTTGATCCCTGGAACCACATGCCATTCCAGCCTCATCCCTGGGCATGCTGAGATGGCCACTGAGACCGGGCATGATGGCACATGCCTGTAATCCCAGCACTGGAAAGGCTGAAACAGGAGGATCACTACAAGTCGGAGCTGCATAGCAAGACCCTGTACCAAATAAATAAATAAATAAATAAGAAAAAAAATATTAAAAATAAATTTAAAAAAAGAAAGAAAATGACTGATACATCTGAACATACCTACCTTCAAAACTTCTAAGGGACAAACTCATTTGAGTGAAGGTAAAGAAACATCACTACACATACAACTAAAACATAGCTGATACCAGAAAACTAGTAAAACAAACCAAAACTCATATAAACCAGTAAAAACAAAGATATACCAAGAAAGGAGATTCAAAGGTGAAAAAATGTGTGAACATGTTTGGCGTTGATGCAGGTGAGCACAGGCACCCAGGGAACCCACCCGGACCAGACTGGCAGGGTTTGGGTACCTCCTGGGAGCGCTCCAGCTACTGGTGCGAGAAGACAACAAACTTGGCAAATCCTGCTTTCCTCCTACAGCTGAGCAGACACACTCTAGGACCCAGCATTTCTGCTGCAGGACAGTGTGTGCCCTTTGGAAGTACAGGTGCATGCAGAGCAGGTGGCACGGGAAGTCCAGGGCAGCGACATTCAGAACAGCACCAAAGCAGGACAGTCCTGCTGCCCGCCAATCACTGGCTGACCTGCAAGGCCTTCACACCGCAGGCTGCAGTACTGTAAGAAGCAGGTGAACCACACACATCTGACAGGTCAGCCTTACAGACCCAGTAGGGAATGAACAGGGCCAGGCCCAAGTGAGTCCTCCTGAGCAGGGAGAAGGGAAAGGAAAGGACTGACAGAGAGGGCATATTTGTTCTTCACTTGTATGCATTCCCTCTGTATGATTAACTGCAATGCCAACTGATAACTTCAGTTCTTTTTCTATGTGCTATATTATAAAATAAAGCTGTATTTAAGTCATACTCTGTCAAAAAAAAGTATATTCTTGAGTAATAGTTTCCCACAATATCTTAAAAGCAATAATAGTGTGCATGCCATTAGTTTTGTATTGTACAAAACTTACCATCTTGTTTACTTTTCTATCATTGTTGCGACAAAATACCCAATGCCCAAAATTACGGAAGGAAAGGTTTGTTTTATTTAGCTCATAGTTTGTGGAATCTGTAATCAGCTGGCTCCAAGGCAGGGTGGCATAGTGAGGGGCAACAGCTCAAGGCAGCAGAGGACAGGAAAGCAGCAAGGGCAAAAGAGGGAGCAAGCCTCTCCCTCCCTCATAGTATAAGCAGGCTACCTGCCCTCAGGTGGGTGCAGCACTCACACCATCTCCCTGCCCTCCCCTTGCACAGACTCAGGAGGTTTATCCAGTGAGGACCCTGGCCCCTGCTGAGTCATTTAGCTAGAGAAGGCTAACAGAGGGGGTTCTACATTTCTTCTTCCACATTGCTCAAGTTGACACATTACACTCACACACCCCAGGCCTACTCTTCTCTGAAAGAAACCCACCACAGGCATGAGCAACCCCAAGTGGATCTGATGATCAGCCCCCAATACTCACATGCTAACATGATTCACACTGCTTCTAATATGCAACACAAACACACAAAAGTGACTCTCAAAGCTGTGGTTACTGAGCACTGAATACTTTCAATTTCCCTAGTCTTAAATCAAAAGAATACCAAAACCAAAAACTATAAAAAGCAAGCTCACACTCATCAAAAAGAGCAAGATTACAGGCCATTTTCCCAAGTGCCAGAAGATGTCTATGTCACCAGAGGAAGCTGGCTCTTACTGTGGAGCTCCACAACTCTACAGGAAGAGCAATAGGCAGTGGAGGAAGGGTACAACCTACTGCCTCAATAGCAGCCCAAATCCAAAGCTTATAAACAGCAGTAATCTCCAAGAGGACCTGTGCTAATGAATCTACAAATGACCTACAAAACTTTGAAAGTTTTCCCAGATTCCAAGCAAAGATAAATGTGAACAACTATATGGAATGTGAGATTGAACGCATCTAATTGGCCTCAAACCTCTCCAATAATCCTTTTCCAGAAGAACAAAACCTCACACCAAGGAGGGAAAGAAAAAAAAAAAAAAAAAACCTTGGGAAATAAAACCAAACTCTAAAGAAAAGAACTGGGTAAAACGAGAGGTGCTTTGGCAAAGACAATGCCCAGAGGCATCAACACAAAAAAAACCAAAACAGCTTCCACACCACCACCTAATTTAAAGGTGAAAGCAACCCTTCTACAATTCATGATCTCCAGAGTTCTAGGGGGTAGAACTGAACCAGGAAGTCTGATTTAGACTTAGTTCTGACCAAATTGAGTTCTCTTTAGTTCACAGGACTAGGAAGGGGGCCTTGTCTTATGTCTAACTGCCCTCATCCCATGACCCCTCCTAATGGCCCTGGAAAATTGCCTCATTTAAACATAAAGTATCAGTAAGAAATTACCATGGGGCCCACGGAGATATAGCTCAGTAGAATCAGTGCTTGCAGAAACATATTATGATAAGACTACTAGATTAGAAGATAAAGTTCCTTTGGGTACCTAGAAAAAAAAGTCTAAAGCACTTATCAAAAAAAGACTGAGGATGGCATTAGGCTTCTTGACAGCAACACTGTATTGTAAAAACAAATGAACAACATGTAAGATATGTAAGTAACTATAAGCCAAAGAATAGACACAGAACCAGACCATCCTTTAAATATACAAAAACTCAAGATGTAAGATTTTTTTCCCCTGAGCAAATTTCCATGAAAAAATATTTCCTGAAAAATCTAGAGATGAGTGTCATGAACTTGGAACCAACTAGAGAAGATTTTTTTTTTCCCTCTGTATTTTAGGGAAGGGTCTACAGGGTGTTCAGGGTCTCACTACTAGATTGGACTTGGAGTGATCCTCCTGTTTGCAGCCTCCCGAATGCTGGAATTACAGGTGCCCGCCACCACGCCGTCTGAATTGCTGGCTCAGCGTGCCCCAGGGTGCGGGGCCGGCATGGCAGGCCCGGGATCAAACCCTGGCCCCTGCGCCTGTGAGAGCTATTGGGCCAGCCCTTAGAGAAGTCTTAGACCTGCAACCAGTGGAGCTGCCCTGTGCTCCTAGTCTGTTCATCCATTCCCTGATGACACCTCTAGTTGAAGAAGCACTCCTGTACTTCCAAATTCTAAAATACAGCGTGCAGCCTACATTTCTATATTCTTAGAATTTGTGTGTGTCAAATTCAGAACCCCTGAGATCTGCTAGATGACAATGGTACAGATAGCTGTCAGGTAGAAATGCTCCAGGAGGTCAGAATGGGCTGTCCAGGAGCTGGCACAGGAGGGGGGCCCACTGCAACTGTGGGGAAGCACATCATCCGCTGAGGGCCATGTCCAGGACCAACAGTGAGACTGTATCCCACACTTCTCCTGGGGATAAATACCACCTCAGGAAAGCCACAAAAAGCCCCTGCTCTGCAGCCTGCCTGACTGCTCTGTGACTCGCTTCTACCTCAGCAATCATGCTCATGATCTCACTGGCCGACCAGAGTATGCTCCACCACATGCCACCTGGCCACTGCCCGTTTCCTACTATGAACTGCTCTCACCCATGGTTTTGCTCTATAAAAATCCCTAGAAAAGGCAGAGTCCTTGGCAACCTGAATGGGACCCCTTCTGTCTCTCTCTCAAACAGAAACTTTCTTTCCCCAATATATTCTGCTCTTAACTTCTGCTGTTCCTAGAATTCATTCTTCAATTTTAGAGAACACAAACTCAAACTGGACATTTAGCTGGTTGGGAGTTTCTTTGCCCTACATTATTAAGATCATAATGAAAAAGTCCTGAAAGTACAAACTAATTCTATACAATTGCCACATCTGTATGATGCAGGTCCGGAGGAACAGAAAATCGGCAACAGACAACAGCTCCGTGGCTTAGGAAGAAATCCACGCCAGCGCACGCAGAGCAGCTCCACCTAAACCGACCTGGTAGGCTCTGTTGATCTGACTAGCTGCCCAGCTCGCACACTTCATGTTGTCCTTCTTCATTTTCGCACTTGCTTTTGGATTAGACGCAATGTGACTCGCAGACTAAGGACAGAAAAGAAAAAAACATTCTTTTTCTAGGGGAAGTAGAAAAAACTCCCAGGGTCACAGATGCAGTAAAGAGTTTAACAAACTGTACCAAAACAACTTTTAAAGTTGAATGAAATTAATGTTTAAAAATAACTTTTAAAATATAATATAATACAAAGTAATAAGACCAGAAAGTGTTTAAAATAATATTTAAAATTACTGAATGATGTGTCTACCTGTCTCTTAAAGGTAAAAATCCCCAACTCTTCAACAAAGAAGTTAGAGAAACATACCTTCCAACCCAAAGCACTGAAGCATCAGGGTGTTACTAGTGTTATTTCTTGTTACTGTTACATTAGTCAGAATTATTGAATGTTAGTATCTTAAAAATAACTTTGACTTTTATACTAACAAGTGAAAAACATCAGTCTAGCAGGAATGCTTAAGAGGGTTTCTGTAATAAACTCCTTTATGCTTGTCTCTAATTCATTTTTTTTATTAACTGTGTTCTACAGAACTGATTGTCAACACAACTTAATGTACCTTCTCCTTTTTAAAAATGCATTTAAATGAGGAATTCTTAACCTGGAACCCATGAAATCTACAAACCCTCAAAAATCACACAGTAAATTTCAAATATATGCTTACATTTCTAGAAGAATAAGGTATAACTTTTTATTCTTAGAAGGACCTACTCCCAAACGACTTCAACCTTGCGCCTATGCCTCATCTTCACTACAGGCTCTTCAACCTTCCTCTTCTCTACCGGCGAGGTATTCACGCCCTAGCATCAATGTTTTACTCCTCTGGGCCTTTAACGTCACCTTTGAATGAGTTTTAGTAAATGCAGTGACCAAAGGAAAGACTCCAGAGTAGGAACCCGGCCTGGAATCCCAGCTCCATCCCATGGAAGCCCTGAGCCCAGAGTACAGAGTCACGCCTGTGTATCAGTGCCACCTCAGAAGCGGCAGCAATAAGAACAACACTCAGCTGATGTGAGTACTGAAGGACTAAACAGCAGAGCTCAGCTAAGTGCCTGGCACAGAAACTGCTACTACAGGTGCTTACTAACAACAATTTATTGTCACAAATTTCAAAAGGCATTGAACGTATTTGGTACAGACATACTGCTAACTACATAATGGTTTCAGTATAATTGAGATAAATGTTAGGCATGATGCGCCTATAATCACAGCTTTCATGAGGCTGAGGCAGGAGGACTGCTGTGAGTGCAAGGCCAGCCTCTGAACTGCACAGCGAGATGCTGTCGCAAAAAAAAGGAAAAAAAAAAAAAATCCAGATAAATTTTAATTCATTAGAACCATCTATTTTGCTATTCTATGAAAATTACACATTTATCTTTCTTCCCATTCTCATCTTCAATCACTACTTTTTCACGAGAGGGTACTTAAGTCTGTGAAAAGACTATGGTAAATCAATGTTGCAAAGAATGGAGTAACCTCCAAGCTTCAGCCTGGCCTTTCAGACTGCAGCAGCCACTGCACACGGCTCGGGGAGCCAGCAGGCCCTCTGCCCTAGTGTTCACTGACACTCTGCTCTCAGCGCACCTTGCCTGACAAACAAACACTGCACACTTCCACAAATCATCTTTAGACTTCTTTTATACCAAAAGAAATATTTTAGTTAGACATGCTAGGGATTTTATTTTCTAATGTTTATTGGTACATTTTAAAAATACCTCATATAAGTATTACCAGGTTGGGCACAGAACCAAGAACAACCATAACAATTTAAGTAACATAGAAGATACTCGCCTATTTATTATTTAATTTCACATGTGGAGATTTCAACTCTGATATGATAAAAGGCACCACCCAATAGAATGTCTAACAACTAAGATGTATTAACATTTAAAATGAAAACTGCCTTGTTGACTACTGCTAATTAAAATCATATACTTATCAATAAATTCAAAAACAAGCAAGGAATGATTAGGAAAGACAGCGGACTGGATTGTGAATGACAGACTTTGTGAAATAACATTAAGCATGCACCTCAACTCACCATGTAAAGCCCAAATAAAGCTCTCATGTTCCTGTTGTTCAATTTCAATGCCTGTGCAAAATACTTCCTTGAAAGTTCCAGGTTTTCAAGTCCGCCTTGAGTATATTTAACCTGCAAGAAGTTGCAGAGTGCTGAAATCTGTTTATTTTACTACTCTGAAATATAGCACGTCTCATCATTCCATAGGCATTAAGTAACTGAAACAGATATTCTATAAATACAAGCACGGTGTTAAAAGAATTCACTTTAAGGTTGTGAATCTCACCTACAAATTAAAGTACAACCTCCTCCTCCATGAAGCTAGTCTACTCTATAACCATTAAGATCTTAGAGCAGTTTAAAAAAAAAAAATGGGTTAGTACAATTTCTCATTAAACTGCCTTGCAAATGCTTTATAAAGTCAAATTTTCTATTACTAGATTTATAAATCTAGACTTCTCTGAATTGTCCTTTTATAGCTATGCTTTTTAAATGATGGTAATAATTGTCCTTTTATACTCTAAAGTCTTCATCTCACGGTATTAAATTGTACTGATAATCTTAATAGTAAGAAAATTACATATATATATACTTCTACATACTAAAATAGCAACTTTAATATGAATTTCTTAGAATCTGGATTTTTTTTGGGGGGGTATTTTAGTAAGGTCAACAGGGTCTACAGGATCTCTCTACATAGATCAGACTCCCAGTGATCCGCCTATGTTCAGCCTCTCAAGTGCTAGGATTACGGGAGCATGCCACAATGCCCCGTCTCAAATGCTACCTCAGCGTGCTCTGGGGACGGGGCCCACATGACAGGCCAAGGATGAACCCAGGCCGCTGTGTCTGCCTAAGCAGGTGCTTTAATCCACTGAGCTATCTGGCTGGCCCTAGAATCTGGATTTAAAAATCAAAATCACTGTGTCTCAGGGCAAGGGAGATAGCTCAACAGCTTAAGCACCTGCCTGGCAAGCGCAAGATCCTGAGTTTGATCCCTGCAACACACACACACACACACACACACACACACACACACACACAGAGATCACTGTGTCCCAGCAGTAATCATTAACAACTGTGGCATAATTACCTTACAGTTAGGGAGGAAAAGAACATTCTAGAACTGTATAAAATGCAAAGCATTTCTCTATTTAAATAGGATTTTTAATTGAAAAGTCAGTATTTCCATTGTAGTATTAAAAATTTCAAACATTTCCACAAGCTGACATCCATCGCATTTAAAATTTTTTTTTCTGTATTTTTAGGGAAGGGTCTAAAGGGAAAAATATTTATATACTTGCTTAACGTGAAGAAAATATTCTTAGAGCCATAATAATGCCCAACAGCAGCAAAACTGGAATCCCACGTGTGCTGCGTGTAAACACACACTCACCTCCGCATACTGCTGGCAATACAGGTGGTTGTGGGGATTTGTCATCATGAGCTCCTCCAGGCAGAAGGCTGCTTTTGCATAGCTGAAACAACCAGTGCAGTAATTAATTAAAAGTCATAAAGTTTATCTCAGCTATGCCTTAAATAAGTTCAAAACAATTTTGTGATATTTTATTCCCAAAACAATTTAAATAGCTCACAATAAAGATCTTATCCTGAACACATACACAGCAGTAACACCAAGATGTTTAGTGGAATGATAAACAGGTAAGTCCAAATCTTACAGCAGTCTATGAGCAATCAATCAATAGATATTACAACTTAAAACTTTACCTAGAATAGCTTCTGTAAGTCCTTTGTTTACTAAAATGTTCACAGAGGAGGAAACATATTCTATCAAGTATTCCCTAACTGCTGAAACTCCCTTCCTAGACATCTACTTACTAAAATACCCCATTCCAAAGACTTCTTGTTGCTTTTCAGTCTAACAGCAGATAATAAAATTCTCTGAGTAACAGCTGCACTTTGTTCTGATTTGCTCTCCACTGCCACTGAACCACGCAGAGGTGAGACAAGAGCCTCATGGCAAGTGTGGCCAGAACCACTACAAAGGGCTCTGGAGCCAGCTGTGGCTCTATTTTCCCCCAGCGTGTCTCCAGGCATGGGGCCCTCGGCCCTCAGGTCCCAGGCCAGCTGCAGACACAGACATGAGGGCTCTCTGGGAACAAGGGTACGGGGACTCAGCCCTCCTGGAGGCCACTGAGAGTTGCCTTCCGCATCTGTCGCCCAGGAGTACAGGCCACCACTACACACTGGGACCTGAGACACTCACTCTCACAAGTGCACACACTGCAGGCTCACCCACATGCAGTAATTAACAACAGCTGACCTTTATGAAGATTTCAGGTCTCATTTTATGTCACGCACATCTCTGAAGTATATTTAGTGAGTTAACTCATTCCATCCCATCAGAATTCTGAAAAGTAGAAATTATCACCACTGTTCTATGGAAAAATCCTGAGGCAGACCTGTAATTGAACCTGGGGCTGGGCCCTCCAGACTGTCTGCACCCTGAGACTCCTCCATGTGCTACCTGGACCTACCACTGCAGTGAACAGCCCCTGGGCCCACAGGGTAGCAGCCACAGCACTCCTAAGCCTAGGCCCCAGTGCCCTGCACCCTGCCCACAGCCTCGGCAGCCCGCCCATGCCAGCTTCACCCCTGCACCTCCAGTTGCAGGCTCTGTGTCCTACTACTGCATCCTGTACGACTCGGCATTGGTTCTTCACAGGCGACAGACATTTAGGAAGGGACCAAATCCACAAGTACCCAACTGTGTTACACGGCAGGGACTCATAAACATGTTCTTTTAACCAAAATGATGCTGAGATTCACATTTAGGCTAAAAACACATTCCTAGAGCTAGATGGCTTGAGAGCAGAGTGGTCCCGGCAGAGCACAGAGCAAGACAGCAGGGCAGGCAGGCACCGGTTGCTTCAGGGTGTGGGAGTGTGGGCATGTCTGGCTCGCTCGGTCTCTATGGTCTACTGGGCCTTCCAAATGTTCTGCTTTAGGTACGTAACTTAAAGTACCTTTGATTATTTGAAATGTTTTAAAATGCTCTTAGTTACAAAACCTTTAAAAATAAATTCTAAATGACTGCCACTTTAAAGAACAAAAGTAATATTAATTTCTTTATTGCACTCTGGATATCGTTTCATGTTATTCAAATATAAGCAGTATATACTGTCTCACAGGCCTAAGAGAACGAGCATGTGTACACGCATGTACATGGAAGCTGGCACACATCCACATGAAGCAGCACACGGGCTCCTGACCAGACTCCAACTGCCCAGGTACGGCAGAGACTTGAGGAATGGCTCAGGAAACAGAGCACATGTTTCGTTGTAAGAGAGCCAATACTTTTATCTTACTTTCACTCTTATTAAAATTATGGAAATAACTACCTCAATGTTTTTTATTTCACATTACACACACACACACACACACACACACACACACACACGCAGGCCTGGTAAAGGGCAACACAAAAATATCTTTATCCTACTTTATTTCCTGTGTCAGCTATTTATTTCCTGTGTAGCATGAGAACAAGGTTAACTTCATGCAAAAAGAAGAAAAAGTGCGTGAGAATCTGATTCTAGTCTTTCAAAAAGTGGGAACTAGAAACAATGTGATAGACTTCAGATTCACAAGAACTAAGGAGAAAAGCAAAGAAAACTGGCTCTGGGTGGAGGGGCGCTAATGCTGTGATATTAGAAAATGTGCACTAAGACTGCACTAATCCGCTCACACTGGGATTTCCTCCTGTCACTACAGCAATAAAAAGCCAACAAAAACATTAAATATCCAATAAGCAAGTTCCTATAGCATTCAACATTCTTGATTATTCTTGGTTTTTAACCCAGGCAACAGAATGCTTTTACTCTGGAAGGGCTGATTCTCTTAGTATTAAGGCTAATAAGTGCATACAATTGACAGAAGTTTTAAACAGCAGGGAGTACAATACTCTTTGTGTATAAGAACAATCTATAGTCTAAAAATGCACTATTTTGAATCATCAAAAATAACCTTCACTTCACAAATACGGGCCTTTCAATTTTCAAAGAATGCTATCTGTATTTAAAAGGAAAACTTTCTTCCCAAAGGAAAATAACTTAGCAAAACCCAAATGAGCAAGCTAATTCTCTATTCACGTTACAACTGACAACTCATGGATTCTTTTCGCTTGCTGCTTTATTTTGCTTCTCACTTAAAATGGCAGGCAACTCACACCTTCTTGATACTCTGCAAACCACTCTGCCCTCTCATTTTCTACTGAAGTAACTGCATCCTGCAGTTTCCTGTACATCTAACAACTTACTCGTGCTCATTGATATAGAGTTCTGCGAGCTCATGCCAGGCTTCCTGGTCACCAACAAACCTGGTGGGCGGAAGGAGAACAAAGTAAGCATGCGGGATTCCGTAAGTGGATAGCATGAGACAAACGGAAAATTAAATGCAAATTCCATTTTAATTAAAAAGACATATTAGAATGACAAAACAGTCTCCGTGTAAACACTCACTGCTCCAGATACTCGTTCAGCTCCCGAATGGCCTCCACATTCTTCCCCTGGGCTTTACGAATGGCAATCTTACGCTTTCTTGCAGCCTACGGGTTGACATTAATAAAGGATTAGTCCACATGATTCCCTGGGTTTTTGTAAGGGAGGTAATCTGACTGTGCAAATTATTATCTCAATGCCAGTGAAATCCCATTGTGGACGCCTGCTTAGTGAGAGTTTATAAACACTCCTCGACATCCCACTGGGGAGTTCAACAATCCCAACCCTCATGTTTGCTTCACTTTTGATGTATACAATACATGCATCGTTTCATCCAAACAAATAAGCACCCAGATTCTGATGATTACAAGCCAGCAGGGAACCCTAATCTCTATCCACCTAAAGTCCTTTCTGCTGCCTGATCCTCAAGATCCATATTTGAGAGCCAGAGGAAGAGTGAAAATTGGAAAAAATAAAGAATCTCACTAAGGCCACTGGATACAATCACACAAAGGCAGCTCCTGTAAACTTTTCATGATTTGAAGAGCACAATCTACCTATGTCTTTCACAAAAATAAGACAGGTCTTCAAAAAACTTTATAATAAACGAATTCTTAAAATTTGCATTTTAAAGTTTAAAAAAACGGCTAACATAAAAATCCATGCCTTTGATTTATGTTTGCAAATACGTACTGGATGCCTATCATTTGTCAGTCCCTGTGCCAGACAATGAAAATGAAACGTAGACCACTTCACTTCTCATGGGATGCAGATCTGGGAGAAAGACCTGCTCCACGGAGGGGTGTGCACGAGGTCCTGTGAGCCGTGATGAAGCTGTACAAGCTGTCACCACTGAGGACAGGCCAAATGGCTGCAGCAGAGCACACAGGATGGACAGGAAGAAGCGGCCACCAACTAACCAGTTACACTGGGACAGAGCTCTGCTAAGAGCAGGACACTGAGGAGCAGACAGGGGGCCAGGGAGGCCCCGACCTGGAAGCAGCACAGGTGCGAGGCTGGGAGTGCAAGCGTGAGCCCTGAGCACCCCGCTGGCCATCTGACTCGGACGCAGAAGGACAGACACAAACATGAGGGCTACAGAAATTGTGACGTGTAGCAGCTTCCTGCTGCTTTCTGTCACGCCAAGAGAAGAAATCTGGGCCGGAGCTCTCTGGAAGGGAAGGAGCTGCACATCTCTGGGCAGCTTCCAGGTCCAGCTCTGGGACCAAGAGACTGACGAGGCCAGGAACAGTGCTCATAATGCTGGCCGTATCTGGTAATAAATGGCGTGTCTAAAGGCATGTATGTCTTGATTCTGAGGCTTGGGCCAAAAGTCTAGCACAACGACTGCCACACAACACAGGCAAATATTCTGGGGCTAATTTTACTACATAAAGCAATGAAAGCACCACAATAAATGTAAGGTTCATAAAGTTTCAAGAATCCACCAGTTAAGTAAAGGCTAAAGCTCTGAAATCTTGACACCAGGGGGAGAACATGACTGAAATGAGACCCACAGCTGGGAGGTGGCTGTTGAGGTGGTGCACTCCTGCAATCTCAGCATTTTGGAAGGCTAAGGCAGGAGGATGAAAGCTCAAGCCCAGACCAGCCACCTCAGTGGTTTAGTGAGAACCTGTCTCAAAATAAACACGAAAATGGGCTGGGCTGTAGTTCAGCAGGAAGGTCCTCAGATCAGTACCAAAAAGGAAATCTTTTCTCAAATCTTCATGAACAAAGAATATTTTGTAAACAGAAACTGATTTATTTGGGGAGAGGTAAAAGCTGATCTCACTAATCCTGAATCATTTAAAACATAATTTATTCCTTTTATTTTTCACAACACCATGCCCTCCAGACAAAGTATGCTGGAACGAAAGGAGTCTAGGTTCTTATCTCAGTTACTCTTCTTTCGTTGCTGGGACAAATATCCAACACCCAAAATGAAGGAAGGAAAGGTTTATTTATTTAGCTCACAGTCAGTGGAGGTTTCAATGAATACTTAGCTGACTCCAAGGCAGCGTGGACATGGCAGAGAGCAACTGTTCATGGCTGCAGGGGCAAAGAACAGAGAGTAGAGGGGAGCGGTAGCAGCTCAGGCAGCTAGCTAGCCTCTCTCCCTCTCCTCACATCGTAATGCAAAGTACCTGTCCCAGGGCAGGTGCAACATCCATACCCACAATAATCAATTGCTAACTCCAGAAGCCACCCCACGACTGCATGAGGATTTGGGGGGACAACTAGACACAAACCGTAAGAGTTGTGAAATAAAAGACAGGGAACTTCTGGGTGTGATGGTGCAGGTCTGAGGATGGTTAGGAGACCCATCTCAAAATGTAACCTGCATAAAGGCCTCAGAGGCCCTGTGGGAGTCCAGGGTTCAGTCTCCAGCACAGAGAAAAATGAAGAAATGGAACCAAAGCCTTGCCACTCACACTGCCCAACTATGTCAGTCACTCCCACCTCTGGTGTCAACTCAAAGTGACCAAGCAGGCAGCAAGCATACAGGGGTTTAAGTAAACTGTGGTTTCCTCTGACCTTTAGTTCAAGCCTGTCATGCTAGGCCATAAAGTCTGGAAAGCACTGGCAGACTCGGCTATCCTTAATTACTTATGTGTTGTCCCAATCCTTATGGGATTTTCAGTACCTATATAAATGATGGGAAAACTTGCTGAGAACACTGCATTCAAATGCCACCAATCAAACAAGAAGCCAGAAAATAAACACAGGCAGCAAGGAATACAGCTACAGCCTCAGGGACCCCAGGGAGCAGACAGCACTAGGTCCTATATGATCTGCAGGATGGCACCAAGACACCTGTCCCTGTTCCAGCCCTGACCCGCACCACTCTACAGAACTCAGCCCTGTTCCACCCATAACTCCTGCGGGACACAGGATGAAATCTGGCTTGACTGACTTAGTGGCACTAGGAAGGGACCTCGGGACCTTCACAATGAGCCAGCTCTCCAGCCTTTCTCATTTATGTCTTTTTACTTTGAGATAGGTTCTCACTAAGTAACTAATTGGCCAGGCTGGGCTTGAACTTATGATCCTCCTCCCCCAGCCTCCCAGAGTGCTGGAATCACAGGTGTGCACCACTACACTCAGCTTCATGACTGTTTGAAATGTGCATTAAGTAGGGACCTTCAATCTGGCCAAAATAGTGATAGGGTTTTTTTTACAATGGGTTTGCAGGAGAAAGCACAGGTATAATGCAAATCACCACTAAACCACAGCCAATATCAGTATCGTTGTCACTGGACTCATGGACTTGGGCAGGCTCACCACTCCCAGCCATCTGACCTACAAATGAGGTGGCATGGACAGAAGGACCGCTGGAGGACCTGAGAAGGAGGTTGCTGAGATGGGGAAGGGCTCCTTCAAGCACACCCGAGCCTGGATAAACTGAATGCTGGGCTTAAGTGTGGCATCACCACAGATACCTCCCTTTGGAAATCTGAGACCAGAGACGGTTATGTGACTTCCACCAATGCTTAGGACCCAGAGACCTATCGAAAACATGCATATAGGTGCATCTCAGGCTGATTGTGTTATTGTGACTGTTTTATCTCTAAGGATGGGCAAACTTGTGAGTGTGCCCTTCTGGCTTACACACTAGGTGTGAAACAACACTGTTGGTGCTGACAGAATGGACTCCAAGGAGCGACCCTACAGAAGAGACAAGAGGAAGTGGTTAAGGAAGTCAGCAGCTACATTAAGAAAATCGGCTACAACCCTGAGATAGTAGTTCTGTGCTAATTTCTAGTTGGAATGGTGATAACATGCTGAAGCCAAGTGCTAATAATATGCCTTGGTTCGAGGGGTGGAAAATCACTCATAAAGATGGCAATGCCAGAGGATACTGGAGGCCATGTACTGGTTAAATGGCTGAGCATGAAGACGCCTCTGGCTGAGTTGGGGAAGCTCCTATTCCCAGGGCTCTTAAGTCAAGGTGAGACCACAGCTGAGGCTGCAGAGGGCACGGTCTGCTGACCTTCTCTATTCCCCAGCAATAAGGCTGCCCACCTCGGAGAACAAGCAGTCCCCTAGTTAGAAAAATCTACTGACTTTGTTTTTCAGGGGCCTAGTCATTTTCATGGGCTTTTGCCTCTGATGTGCCCTCTTCTTCCTGTACCCCCAAATTAGTGAAACCCAATAAATACAATGATCCAGAAGGGTCCTTTTTTCTATCCCAGAGTTTTTACTCTCACCTTCTGGAATCCCCTCCCCTGCAAAACCATACCACTTGTCTCTTTTTATTTAAGCCTTCACCATAACTGGAAGCTTTGGATTGCATCCTCCCAGCCACTCGCCCAACAGACAGGCGTCTGTGGCTGCCGCTGCAGGATGTCTACAGAACTGGTGGTGCTGGTGCTGTCCCCCAGGGCCCAGTGGAAAATGTTCTCGATCTTGGCACAGTGGCCACCTTTGCTCTAGTGGGCTCACAGCTGAAGTCAAGTCTGCTGAAATGCTCCATGAAGCTTCAAGTGAAGCTCTTCCTGGGGACAAAGTAGGCTTCAATGTCAAGAACGTGTCTGTCAAAGACATTCATCATGGCAATGTTGCTGGTGACAACAAAAATGAGTCAGCAATGGAAGCAGCTGTCTCCCTGCTCAGGTGATCATCCTGAATCACCCTGGCCAGCTTGGTCCGGGTTGTGCCTATGCTGACTGTCACACAGCTGACTTGCTTGCAAGTTTACTGAGCTGAAAAAAAAGACTGCTTGCCAGTCTAGTGAGAAGCAGCAAGAGAGCCCCAAATTCTTGAAATCTGGTGACACTACCCTCACTGACAGGACTCAGGGAGGGCCAGTGTGTAGTAAGGGCTTCTTTGTCTAACCTCCTCTGGGCTCTCGTGTTGTTCTCAGTATGACTCAAACAGCTGCTGTGCTGTCATCAAAGCAATGGACAAGCAGGCTGCTGGAAATGGCAAGGTCACCAGGTCTGCCCAGAACCCAGAATCTTATTAACCCCAACACCTACCACCCCATCTTGATTCAGAGGCAACAGACCAGTCTCAGAACTATTTCACAGAGAAAGACTGGTTAGTGAGAATAATACATCATAAAGAAGGAAAGGAAAATGTTTTGTGGACCGTGTGTATGTGTGTG